GTGCCATAACATTAACATGGTAAAATTATCTGTATAATAGAAAACAGAATTATAAAGAGGAAACATTAGGCTTCTTGATGCATTAATTTCACTTGCATAGGAACACTTGTTTGCGAGATATTGCTCCTAAAAGAAAGAAAATCAAGGGTAAATTGTGACAAAAAATTTCAACGAGCCTCTGTCAGCCTAGCAGCAATACAAATGAATGGAGGTTGGGCTACGCCCACGCACCCGTTTCCAATCCCTTTCATTTACTCTAATATCTATGGACCTAATTAGATTCATTGATACCCGCCCACACACAGACCAGGAATTCATGGTAAAATAATTCAATTTTTATAAAATTTTATAAACAAGCGTAACAGGGTAAAAAATATTCCTATAATTGATTTCACCACTTTGCAAGTACAACTTGGTCATTATTAAGACTTATAGAAGTTCTCTCTACCTTATAATGCTTCTAGAGAAGTCTTTAGACAGTATCTCTATGCTCTCTTGCTGTTAGAAAGCTTTTAACTTTGTCCCATGTGTAAGCCGCCATTTTGTTTGCCGTGACCACACCCACTCACGTAAAGGAGCGTGGGCGGGTGGTTGCTAAGGCTTGTTATTTCTCCAATACAACGTGTATAGAAGAAATGTAATTGTGGACATACAAATAAATATATATATATATATATATATACATAGCGCGACGGTGAATTCAATTATAGGAACGACCTGGGGGCTTCGCCCCCAGGTCGTTAAAAAGAATAATTTTTAATCTCAATCATTCAAATCATGATCCATTATGTGAAGCAATTCTACTAGTTCCATCTCTTAGATTTCCTTCAGTTTGGATACCACATAGTCCTTTTCTGATTTCTTTTTTCCAGTGAATAGCAACACAACCTTTTTTCCAGTAAATAGCAAACAACAAATGTAAAAAATTAAGGAGGTGTATTTTTTATAGCATTGCGGCTCTGCCCCCAGCCATGTTATCATCATACAGATGAGGTTATTTACTTCACTTTCAAAATAGTTAGATGATCTTACTGCTTGGACATACAGACTCACTTCATCAGTATAGGGCTTTGCCTAATTAACAGTAATAAAGCTTTATATCAGTTTCAGTGGGCTAGCTGCACTCCAATTATTTGAAATCAAATTACAACTTGAAACATGAACAGTCATAGGTAGCTTTAAATTCCAGTCATTGTTCAACTCACATACTCTACTCTTCTTTAAGGGGCTGTGACCCAATTATTTCATTTATAGTATTATTTGGGAAACAGGTATAGCTTTAAATTCCAGTCCTTGTCAAGCTCACTTACAGTGTAGTAAAATGTCAAAGATGTTCATCTTTATGTTGTTGTTGCTGTGTTTAATAGTTACCATTGATGAAGGAGAAGGATCAGTTACGGCTAGTATTGGATATAAACATGAACCATCACTGTATCTAAGAATATGCTGTATTATTAGTAACTTGGAACAGAATGTTGCTATCAAAGGAATTGGTATAACAAGATATATTTTATGTCCTAAAGTACGACCAAAGTCATGCCCATTAGGTACTGTATATATATCTGAAATAGTTCATGATGTACTTAATGTAGATAACAGAGACTGTAAGAGCTTGTTTCAGACTGGTTTTGATATAAGTGGTGTTTATACTGTTAATCCTGATGGAGGGACTCCATTTGAAGTTAGTTAAAAGTAATTTATAATTATACACTATTGGATCACAGGTATACTTTGATATGGAGACTGATGGTGGTGGCATGGACTATATTTCAAAGGAGACAAGATGAATCTGTTGATTTCTATATGAACTGGACTGACTATGAGAGTGGATTTGGTGACCTTACTGGTGAGTTTTGGTTAGAATTGAACAAGATTCATCGTCTTACTAAAGAAGGATCAAACACACTAAGAGTGAACCTGGGAGACTTTGAGGGGAACACAGCTTATGCTAACTACTCTACATTTACTGTTAATGATGGTACTAACAGTAGGAGGATACTTTGGTACTGCTGGGGATAGTTTGTGGTGGCATAGTGGATGGAGATTCAGTACAAGAGATAATGATAATGATGCATTGTCAGTAGGTAACTGTGCTCAGACCCACACTGGTGCCTGGTGGTATAGAGGCTGCTATGATTCGAATCTCAATGGTCGTTATTTTAATACTTCAACTAGTAATGATCAAGGAATTGTTTGGGAATATTGGAAATTTACCACTCTCAAGTTCACAGAGATGAAAACTCATTGTAACAATTAAATACTGTCCCCCACACACATAAGTGTGTTTACATTGCGCTGATGTCATTTCAATATCACAGTCTGTCATACCTTGTAATGATTATTAATAATTATTGACTATTTGACTTTTATTAACTTCAAAACAAGCAACATAGTAAAAGTGCCATACAATATAATCTATATATACCACACAGAGCAAAATTAATGTAAAATAAAACACTTTTAGCTCAGACTGATTAAATTATAATTCACTAATTACCATATAGCAGGATTTATTGACGAAGTTTTATTTTGACGAGTTGACAATTTAAAATAAAACATCAAATTTTATAAACGTCAAAAATTTTGTACTTTGTGCCACGTGTACGCGAAGGGCACTATTCGTCAAATTAAAACTCGCCAACCGGGGAATTTACTGTTTTTGTCAAATTTTTTACTCGTCAATAAATTCCACTATACAGTATAATTATCATCATAAAAATTAATGATGAAATACTAACTAATGGACTCAACATAGTAACTTAAAAACACTATACACTTTTCAAAACTAAAAAATGCTAGTAATAATATATACTATGGGGAATCAGTTAAAAGTCTAAGTACAAAATAATTTTTTATTTTTATTCAATTTTCTACAAAATGAAATCGAAACTGTGGACAGACAATACAGCTGAGTAAAACAACACTTGTATAAACTACATATGCTCATTCAATACATGGTTAAAATTCCAACTCTGTCAAGCTCACATACATTTTAGTAAAATGTCAAAGATGTTCATCTTTATGCTGTTGTTGCTGTGCTTAATAGTTACCATTGATGAAGGAGAAGGATCTTATTGTATGGCTAGTACTGGATACAAACATGAACCATCACTGTATATAAGGACATGCTGTAACAGTAGTAACTTAGGACAGACTATTCGTATGAGAGAAGGAAGAGTGAAGACCATCATGGTATGTCCTGATGTAAGGCCACAAGCCTGTCCACCACCAGGTAAAGGATACTTTAATATAATAATTTTCAGTACCAAAATTTAGTTTTTACAGACTGTAAGGAATGGTATAGCAATGGTAGCACTATTAGTGGCCTGTATAATATCAATCCTGATGGAGGGACTCCATTTGAAGTTAGTTAAAAGTATTCTATATTTATACACTATTGGATCACAGGTATATTGTGATATGGAGACTGATGGTGGTGGATGGACTGTATTTCAGAGGAGACAAGATGGATCTGTTGATTTCTTTAGATGCTGGACTGACTATGAGAATGGATTTGGTGACCTTACTGGTGAGTTTTGGTTAGGATTGAGCAAGATTCATCGTCTTACTAAAGAAGGATCAAACACACTAAGAGTGGACCTGGGAGACTTTGAGGGGAACACAAGTTATGCTAACTACTCTACATTTAATGTTAGTGATGGTAGTACTGAATATATACTAACAGTAGGAGGATACTCTGGTACTGCTGGGGATAGTCTGGCCTATCATAATGGATGGAGATTCAGTACAACAGATAATGATAATGATTACTATGGAGGTAGCTGTGCTCAATTGGCCACTGGTGCCTGGTGGTATCGTTACTGCTATCTTTCAAATCTTAATGGTCGTTATTTTAGTACTGCAGCTGATGATTATGAAGGAATTAAGTGGTACTATTGGAAATCAACTACTCTCTCGTTCACAGAGATGAAAACTCGTCGTAACAATTAATTAATGTCCCACACATTGTGTTTACATTGTTATTATAATGAGTATTGATGTAGACTAAAGGTATGTATGGGAAACTATACATATGTCATTGAGCATGCACATAATAGACTAATAGTTCACAACTAAAATGCTGGAATTCACTAGTAATAAATTATATAGAGTAACAAATATAAGTTTCAACTGTTAAAAACAAAATACTCAAAACTGACAATTTTTCAAACTGATAAAAGTGCTCAACTGTTAAATTTTCCAGCTGGTATACTATAGGATTATCCAATACATGTGTACCCACAGCTCCTTGTCAAAGAACCCTATCAGTGTATAACATAGTACAAACATGTATGTTGTAATTCTATTAGGAGAAGTATACAGGCTCCTTTCAATACCCATACCCTCTATCAATGAATCCAAGTATGTTAATACAAGGTTCGTCCTAGCCTACCAGGACTGTCAAAGGACATACATGTATACCAATATTCTCTTCTCAATATATCTTAAGAGTACTACCATAATGTTACCAGTAACTAACAACATTAATATTATGTACTCTTGGTGATACTGATAGTCACAGAAGTTAAGTAAGTAAACTGTAATTTTCCATCAGAGTAACTGCTCATTCAATACATGGCTTGAATTCCAGTCCTTGTACAGTCTAGTAAAATGTCAAAGATGTTCATCTTTATGTTGTTGTTGCTGTGTTTAATAGCTACCATTGATGAAGGAGAAGGATCTTATTGTATGGCTGATTGTACTGGATATAAACATGAACCATCACTGTATATAAGGACATGCTGTAACAGTAGTAACTTAGGACAGACTATTACCATTAGAAGAGTTGGTATTAATAGATATATTCTATGTCCTAAAGTACGACCAAAGTCTTGTCCAAAAGGTATACTGCAGTAATAGTAGAAGTGTTTAGTTTTTTATATCATAGATGATTGTAAGAGCTTGTTTGAGGATGGTAATACTACTAGTGGTGTTTATACTGTTAATCCTGATGGAGGGACTCCATTTCAAGTTAGTTAAAAGTAATTTATATTTATACACTATTGGATCACAGGTATACTGTGATATGGAGACTGATGGTGGTGGATGGACTGTATTTCAGAGGAGACAAGATGGATCTGTTGATTTCTATAAATACTGGACTGACTATGAGAATGGATTTGGTGACCTTACTGGTGAGTTTTGGTTAGGATTGAGCAAGATTCATCGTCTTACTAAAGAAGGATCAAACACACTAAGAGTGGACCTGGGAGATTTTGAGGGGAACACAGCTTATGCTAACTACTCTACATTTAGTGTTAGTGATGGTAGTACTGAATATATACTAACAGTAGGAGGATACTCTGGTACTGCTGGGGATGATCTGGTCTGGTATCTTAATGGAAGGAGATTCACTACAAGAGATAATGATAATGATGCATGGTCAGATAACTGTGCTCAGTACCACACTGGTGCCTGGTGGTATTATCACTGCACTCATTCAAATCTTAATGGTCGTTATTTTGATACTGCAACTAATAATCGTCAAGGAATTGTTTGGTACTATTGGAAAAATGCATACATTACTTTCAAGTTCACAGAGATGAAAACTCGTCGTGACATTTAAATACTGTCCCCCCACAAACATTAAGTGTGCTGATATTATGACATGATTATGAATAACTATTGACTATTAATAAACTTAAATTGTTAATAACTTTCCAGCTATAATATACCGGTATACTAGGATTGTCCATTACAGAAGTATCCATAGTCCCTTGTCAAAGTACCCTATCTGTGTATTACATTATGTTGTGATTCTGTCAGGAGAGGTATACAGCCTCCTTTCAATACCCATACCCTTTTGTCAATGTATCCAATAATGTTAATAGATTATGTTCTAGCCTACTAGCAAGACTACATAATATTATGTACTCTTGCTAGTAGGAGTCTAGGACTGTCATAGGACCTATATGTATACTCATACCCTAGTAGCTTATGCCAATGTATTGTAAGAGTATACTACCATAATGTTACCAGTAACTTACAACATGGACATGACTGATACTGATAGTAACAGAAGTTAAAGTAAGTATAAAATGTAATTTTCCATCAGAGTAACTGCTCATTCAATAGATGGCTTGAATTTCAGTCCTTGTACAGTGTAGTAAAATGTCAAAAATGTTCATCTTTATGTTGTTGTTGCTGTGTTTACTAGTTACAATTGATGAGGGAGAAGGATATTATTGTATGGCTGATTGCACTGGATATTAACATGAACCATCACTGTATATAAGGACATGCTGTAAATGTAGTAACTTAGGACAGACTGTTACAATTAGAGGAATTGGTATAACAAGATATATTTTGTGTCCTAAAGTACAACCAGTCTTGTCCAAAAGGTACTGCAATAATAGAAGTGTTTAATTGTTGTATTATAGGCAGTGATTGTAAGAGCTTGTTTGAGGATGGTTACTAGTGGTGTTTATACTGTTAATCCTGATGTTTTGAAGTTAGTTCAATAAAAGTAATTCATAATTATACACAATTGGATCACAGGTATATACTGTAATATGGAGACTGATGGTGGTGGATGGACTGTATTTCAAAGGAGAAAAGATGATTTATATAGGAACTGGACTGACTATGAGAGTGAATTTGGTGACCTTACTGGTGAGTTTTGGTTAGGATTGAGCAAGATTTTATCATCTTACTAAAGAAGGATCAAACACACTAAGAGTGGACCTGGGAGACTTTGAGGGGAACACAGCTTATGCTAAATACTCTACATTTAATGTTAGTGATGGTAGTACTGAATATAGAAGAATACTCTGGTACTGCTGGGGATAGTCTGGCCATTCATAATGGATGAAGATTTAGTACAAGAGATAATGATAATGATGGATGGTCAGTAGGTAGCTGTGCTCAGTCTCTCACTGGTGCTAGGTGGTATAATGTCTGCTTTAATTCAAATCTTAATGGTCATTATTTTAATACTTCAACTAATAATGATCAAGGAATTGCTTGGTGGCAATGGAAAGTAAACACTAGTCTCAAATTCACAGAGATGAAAACTCGTTGTAAAAATTAAATACTGTCCCCTACACATATAAGTGTGTTTACATTATGCTGATTAATTATTATGTCATTTCAATATTACAGCCTGTCGTGATTATTAATAATCAATAATAAATTTATTAATTAATGAATAACTGTTATAATGAGTAGTGATGTATATAGGCATGTGTGGGTGGGTAAAAGGATACTATAATGTCATTGAGCATGTACATAATGGTTCAGAACTAAAACACTGGAATTATATAAACTAACAGATACAATTTCCAACTGTGAGTTTTATGTCACTATAACACCATCTAGATCACTATAAAATTAATAATAATGATAATAACAATAATAATAATAATAATAATAATAATAATAATAATAATAATAATAATAATAATAATAACAACAACAAGACAATAAATTATGCTTGGCTGCCTTTTTTATATAAACAGTTCCCTGTCGTATAAAGAAGTACTTACTCCAAAATCTACAATGAGTATAATCAACATGTCCATAACATGTCACTATACTAGCATGAACCTCTAATCATGTTAGATAATGCTTCTATCACAGCAACAATTGACATTATGAACATTTCCTCTTTCCTAAGAATCAAGTATTACATACAGCCCATACTAACAAGGCTATATACAATTAAACTATCCATCGTTTGCAAGATCATTTAAAACCAATAGCAGCACTGAAACACCTCCAGTCCATAGCTATAGCTACAATGGATCATGGGTCATTGTTCTTCATACTCTTAGTGTTACTGTCAGTTACTGGAACTGAAGGATCTTACTGTATGGCTAGTGATTGCAATAATACCAGATCATATCAACGTAGTGGGGGACTAGCACTGTATCTAAGAGTATGCTGTAACAGCAGTAACTTAGGACAGTCTGTTACTATCAGTGAACCTGGTATTAATAGATACATTCTCTGTCCTAAAGTACTACCAAAGTCCTGTCCTAAGAAACCTCAAAAGTCTTGTTTTAGTGTAGTACCATCAAACTCTACTCAAGGACAAGGTATACCGAGATGTACTGTAATTTAGTATACAAGTATAATACTGATCATGATGTATTGCATGTTATTGTTGCATGTATGTTATGTAAAATGTATGTACTGATCTGATTATGTATTACGTTAATAGATCAAATAGGCCTAAAGAGCATGCACAAAAGATAATTATAGCACAACAATAAGTGGTAGCTGTATATCACTGTATATAGGTGTTAATAGCATGTCAATGGTACAATATTTAATCAGTAGCAATCATTTTTATGCTTTATCTCACATAAAACACTCATTATCATGCATTAACTATTATTCCTCTAAGCTCCTCAGGGCTGTAAAGATTGGTATAATAATGGTAACACTACTAGTGGTGTTTATACTGTTAATCCTGATGGAGGGACTCCATTTGAAGTTAGTTAAAAGTAATTTATAATTATACACTATTGGATCACAGGTATACTGTTATATGGAGACTGATGGTGGTGGATGGACTGTATTTCAGAGGAGACAAAATGGATCTGTTGATTTTTATAGATACTGGGCTGACTATGAGAATGGATTTGGTGACCTTACTGGTGAGTTTTGGTTAGGATTGAGCAAGATTCATCGTCTTACTAAAGAAGGATCAAACACACTAAGAGTGGACCTGGGAGACTTTGAGGGGAAGACAGCTTACGCTACCTACTCTACATTTAATATTAGTAATGGTAGTACTGAATATATACTAACAGTAGGGGGATACTCTGGTACTGCTGGAGATAGTCTGTGGTGGCATAATGGAAGGAGATTCAGTACAAGAGATAGTGATAATGATGCATGGTCAAATAACTGTGCTCAGTTCTACACTGGTGCCTGGTGGTATAGAAGCTGCTATGATTCAAATCTTAATGGTCATTACTTTAATACTTCAACTAATAATGAAGAAGGAATTAAGTGGTATGGTTGGAAATCTACTACTCTCAAGTTCATAGAGATGAAAACTCATCGTAACAATAAATACTGTCCCCCACACACATAAGTGTGTTTACATTGTGCTGATATATTATATATTTCAATATTACAGTCTATTATACCTTGTATAACTATTGACTATTTGACTTTCATAATAATATTATAAACTAATGAATAAATTGTTGGCATGTGTGGGTGAGTAACAGGAAACTATATATGTCATTGAGCATGTACATAATTAAATTAATGATTCAGAACTAAATTGCTGGAAGTCACTAGTAAACTAACAAATATAAGTTTCAAACCGTTGAAAGTGCTACATGCAAATAGTTAAATTTTCCAGCTATAATATACTGGCATGTGCAATACAGGTGCACCCATAGTCCCTTGTCAAAGTACTCTATTAGTGTACTACATACTGTATAGTGGGAAATTTTGGAGAGGATTAAATTTGGCAAATTTGGTGTTTTGACAGCCATTCGCCAAAATAAAAATCCACCATTTTGAGCCATTATACAGATGCTCAATGGCACATGGTCACAAATTTGCCAAATTAAAAATCACCATCACCAAAATGTAGCAATTTGCCAAATTTTAGCTGCTCCAAAATTCTTGCTATATGGTAGTACATACATGTATGCTTAGATCATGTTAGGAGAGGTATACAGCGCCTCCTTTCAATAGCTATACCCTCTCTCAATCAATCCAAGTATGTTACAAGGTATGTCCTAGCCTATACTAGGACTGTCATAGGACATATATGTATACCCATATCCTCTTCTCAATATATCTTAAGAGTACTACCATAATGTTACCAGTAACTAACACCATTAACACGGCTGATACTAATAGTGACAGAAGCTACAGTAAGTAAAATGTAATTTTCTATCAGAGTAACTGCTCATTCAACACATGGCTTGAATTCCAGTCCTTGTACAGTCTAGTAAAATGTCAAAGATGTTCATCTTTATGTTGTTGTTGCTGTGTTTAATAGTTACCATTGATGAAGGAGAAGGATCTTATTGTATGGCTGATTGTACTGGATATGAACATGAACCATCACTGTATATAAGGACATGCTGTAACAGCAGTAACTTAGGACAGACTATTACAGACCTGTCTACCATACTATATATATTACAAGTGGTGTTTATACTGTTAGTTAGGATTGAGCTAGATTCATCGTCTTACTAAAGAAGCATCAAACGCACTAAGAGTGGACCTGGGAGATTGAGGGGAACACAAGATATGCTAACTACTCTACATTTAATGTTAGTGATGGTAGTACTGAATATATACTAACAGTAGAAGGATACTCTGGTACTGCTGGGGATAGTCTGTACTGGCATAGTGGATTGAGATTCAGTACAAGAGATAATGATAATGATGCATGGTCAGGAGGTAACTGTGCTCAGACCCACACTGGTGCCTGGTGGCATAATCACTGCTATGATTCGAATCTCAGTTATTCTAATACTTCAACTAGTAATGATCAAGGAATTGTTTGGGAAAATTGGAAATTGAATACTCTCAAGTTCACAGAGATGAAAACTCATCGTAACATTTAAATACTGTCCCTCAATGTGCTGATATATGACATACCTTGTAGTGATTAATAACTAATGACTACTATGGACTTTAAAAAATAAATTTATTAATTAATGAATAACTGTCATAATGAGTAGTGATGTAGGCATGTGTGGGTGAGTAACAGGAAACTGTATATTATCATGTCATTGAGCATCTTCAAAACTAAATGCTGGAATTCAGTATACAAAATTATATATAAGTAACAGATACAATTTCAAATTGTTAAAAAAGAACAAATTATTTTCAAACTGTCATAAGTGCTAAACTGCAGTTAAATTTTCTTGGTAAAATATATACTGGTATGTACAAGGAATGTCAAATACAGATGTGCCCATACCCCTTGTCAAAGTACCCTTTAAGTGCATTATGATTCTGTCAGGAGAGGTATATGCCTCCTTTCAATACCCATACCCTCTTCTCAATGTATCCTAAGAGTGCTACATTACTTATTAACTACATGCATGCATAATAAAATTAACATACTGAGAGTCACAGAAGATTAAGTATAAGTAAACTGTAATTTTCCATTAGAGTAGGTTCTCAGTGGTATATATAATGCATGGTTTAAATTCTAGTCCCTGTCATGCTTAAGTGCAGTCTAGTAAAATGTCAAAGATGTTCATCTTGGTGTTGTTGTTGCTGTGTTTAATAGTTACAATTGATGAAGGAGAAGGATCTTATTGTATGGCTGATTGTACTGGATACAAACATGAACCATCACTGTATATAAGGACATGCTGTAACAGCAGTAACTTAGGACAGACTATTCATATGAGAGAAGGAAGAGTGAAGACTATCATGGTATGTCCTAATGTAAGGCCACAGGCCTGTCCACCACCAGGTAAATAAACTAATACATTAATAATAATAATAATATTATACTGACTCTATGAAACTAGATAATAGAGACTGTAATAGCTTGTTTGAGGATGATATTACTACAAGTGGTGTTTATACTGTCAATCCTGATGGAGGGACTCCATTTGAAGTTAGCTAAAAGTAATATATAATTATTATACACTATTGGATCACAGGTATACTGTGATATGGAGACTGATGGTGGTGGATGGACTGTATTTCAGAGGAGACAAGATGGATCTGTTGATTTCTATAGATACTGGACTGACTATGAGAATGGATTTGGTGACCTTACTGGTGAGTTTTGGTTAGGATTGAGCAAGATTCATCGTCTTACTAAAGAAGGATCAAATACACTAAGAGTGGACCTGGGAGACTTTGAGGGGAACACAGCTTATGCTAAATACTCTACATTTAATGTTAGTGATGGTAGTACTGAATATATACTAACAGTAGGAGGATACTCTGGTACTGCTGGGAATAGTCTGGCCCTTCATAATGGATGGAGATTCAGCACAAGAGATAATGATAATGATAAATATGGAGCAGGATACAACTGTGCTCAGTATTGGACTGGTGCTTGGTGGTACAATGACTGTCATAATTCAAATCTTAATGGACTTTACTTTAATACTTCAACTATTAATAATCAAGGAATTGTTTGGCATCATTGGAAAGGATCAACTACTCTCAAGTTCACAGAGATGAAAACTCGCCATAACAATTAAATACTGTCCCTTACACATATAAGTGTGTTTACATTGTGCTGATATAATTATTACTAAATATTAGAGTCTGTCATACCTTGAAGTGATTATTAATAATTATTGACTATTGACTGCATTAGTGATGTAGGCATGTTTGGGTAGATAACAGGAAACAATTATTTATTATGCCATCGAGCATGCACATAATGTGTGGTTCAAAATGGTAGGTGGCAAATGTCTATCCTATTTAAATACCAAATTTGTCAAAATGTATCATAGTTGCCTCCAAAATTAAATACCCATCTATACAGTACATGTACATGTACATCTACATGTACATATATGTTAAAACACTTACTCAGATCTCCTAACAGAGAGTGATACTGGAGGATGAGACAGTTGAGCCAACTAGACCATTACCTGATTACTGACAACTTGCAGCTGCTGGGAATGACCAGCCATGATGTAATTGATAGTAGACTGAGGTGAACTGTCTGTACAATGGAAAAGGCAAGAAATGGAGAATATATCATTTATAAGTATCATAATATGAGAGAGAAAGACATTAACATTCTCACAAAAGCTATACAATTTTTTAACCCAATAATATAATAATTATAAGTCTCATTCTCTCTCTCCTTACTATATTTTTAAGAACGCAGGTAGCATAAAACTCCAATTTTTTGTAAATAAGACAATATCAAGATCTCCCAAGCAATACAAATTTCTCTTGCTGAGTACCATAATATATCAGGGACCTTCGTCAGCTAAAATGAACTTCATATCAACAACTGATTCATTTAGTGCATCACACTATAATTGTAGAAAAAATTGAGTAAGTAATTTTATTTTATATAATGCATTAATTACATTTTATATATTAATGCCATAAGATAATGTCATAATGTCATAAGAATTATGACATTAAAGAATATACATGTACTTTTGTTCTCAGTTTCAGTGGCTACTGGTGCTGTTGTCAGTGAATAGTTAGTATGAAACTCCTCATGTCCAGACACAGTAGACCACCAGTCCCTCATTTTAAAAGACATAGCTCTATACTCAAAAAAGAAAACTTGAAAAAATTAAATGATAGCTGTGTAGTCACTGTAGTGTGTTTGACTGTTTGTCACTTGTCACTGTTTGATCACACCCACCAATTATTATTATTATTATTATTATTATTATTATTATTATTATTATTATTATCATTATTATTATGAGAGAGAGAAAGAGAGATGTGGGAAAAGGGGGAGAAACCCATAATCACAAAAATGGAAAGGAGAGAAGAAACAAAAAGAAGAATAAAGACGAGAGAGAAAGACATGAGAGAGAGAAAAGTTAAATCAGCCCATCCACGGAGGGCAGGACAGGTAGAGTCCTTATTATTATTATTATTATTATTATTATTATTATTATTAAACACTTTACAGGTAAGAAATGGGAAGGACAAAAAATAGGGGTTATGAAAGAGTACCTGAGGGACAAGTAGCCGAGGAGCCACAAGCCAAAAAAATACAAATAAAACAATATAAGAAATGTGACAATAGTAGCATTAGTAGAAGAATAGTTAGAAATAAGTGTAGTTACTAGAAGAACAAGACAAACATTTGTTACAGGTACACATAAAATAAAAAGAACAAGGGTTGTTACTGTCAAAATGCTCCAGAAAATGAAGCCACTTTAATTTGATACTTAAGATAAACATGCTGTGATGATGGTTACCAGTGGACTCCTAGACTGGAGGAAGAGGAGGATTCAACTGTAAAGAATATTTAAGAATCAAGACAATGCAGTCAAATCCTGATTATGGTACAAATACATGCACTGATTGCTTTGAGTAACTTAAAATTTGTAAACAATCTAATTTTGTTCGGAATCAGCTCAAATTTTTTATGTAACATAAGTATAATGTATATGCATAAGAAAAATTGTTAAAACTGAAAACTCTATCCTTTTCATTTGTGACAAAATTTGGCCAAAGACTGTAGTAGACTAGATGGCATTTGGCCAAATTTTTTACTTTGACAACCAACTGCATGAGCACTATGTCAAAGCCTTATGTGGTTGACCTTATGTATCAATAAGTATAATTACTTTGAATAAAATAAATGATAAAAGGTACTAATACTCATCACTTAATTGTATTAGATACCATATACCAATAACTATTTGGTCTGTTAAATTGTTTTCTAGCTTGAGTGCTATAATAATTATGCATGATGTTGATAATTCATTTTGTTTATAATTAGATTGTGTAAGATATTGCTACATGTACTCTAAATCTACATGCATGTGCTTTTGCTTCAGTTTGCAGCACTATAGAAGGAAGAAAGACTATTAATAGCATAGCCTCAGTCCTATTACATGTATCTCAATTTTTATTGTAACATTGATTGTAATTACGGTAAATATCTTTTGTTACTTTGGCACTAATATAGGAGCAACTGCTTAGCTTACTCTGGCAGGTCCAATAAGGCCAGCATCGTAAGTTACAAGTAAGAACTAGAGCACATACTTGTGCTAGTACATGTAAGTAACTTTGAGCCATTTGTCATGTAACTCAAGTGCTGCCTAACAAGTAAGTACATGTACATTTATGTCACATATTTCTAAATGTGTGTTATGTACATTTAACATGTTCATTGTAATCATTATTGTTTCATTATTGATACCCTATGTCTGTTATGATATACTTTACATGTACTTGTTTTGCAGATTCTTAGAATTTATTGTTTACTCAAAGAAACACAATAACCCCTAGTTTACCTTTTGTAGATACTTTCCCAAAGCACCCATGCAATTATAATGCATAACGATCTAATTGTTTCTTTCATATAACAATATACAGTATGTACTGTTGTCATAATTCAGACTCTCGCTTTTCTAAATAAAACTAATTATGCGGCACGTACAATAATGGGTCATGTTGATTGACTTTTGTTTAAAACAAGGTGCAAGATCTATTGCTATCAAATATCAGTACACTATGTAGCTGTTACAATGACCTGCATGGATATGATAAGGCAGCCATAATGCTCATAACTCTGATTGATGCATTACATAAATTTTTGTTGATAAAAATGCTTACATTTACATGTATATACTTGTTAATCCCAGCAGCTATGTGATACCATAAAACAAAGATGTAGCCACTTTTTATCCTTTGGTTTATAGCATATATGTTGTAAAATTTTTGACACAAGATTTATGTGCATATTTATATCATACATAAATTACTCAATTCTTATCAATTTGTAAAATTGACTAAATTTAGTCAAAAAACCTGTACAGACAATAATAACTGTAGCAAAACAGTGCAATCATCAGAAATTTCTCATAATGATTTATGAGCTCAGTTACATGCCCTTTAGCTTTCCACGCACATAACATTATGTTAGTACAGTATCTTGGAACCAAAGTATAACTGTATAGGCAAAATTGTAGAGGCTCCTAACAATTATCGTCATAGTTATAGGATGAATAGTTAGACTATGCTCTTCTGGAGCATTGTAATGTATGATAATAGTATTTATTAGAATCTGTGTGGGTGAGTTTAAGCTATTTGGCTTGTCATGAATCAACAATGAATTTCATTATGCAACAGATATTCTATAAAAGCTGCCACTTGTACTATATTTTTACACAGTCTTACCTTTTGGACCGTTGCTAATAATTTGGTGGTGCTGCTTCCTATGAAGATGCTCTCCATTTTTCTCCTTTGCTGTTTTATTGTTATTGCTTCAAGTGATGGTGCTGTAACTACAAAGAAGAGAGATCTAACTGCTGTCACTGACTGGTTGCACAAAATCAGCAAGAGGCATAGCTCTCAACTGGAAGTACGTCAAGACAACACTGCTTGTTTAAACCAGCTTCAAAGCAACTATCCCTCCTACTGCAACTTTACAGAGCTTTCAGGTGGTCTCTCAGATCTTCCTGCTTCATCTCTCACTGATGCTCAGCTCACTGCTCTCAACAATGCTTACGCTCGAATTTGTGTCTCAGCTTGCATCGATCCAGTTGAAACCTACTACAACTGTCTACAGGCAGTTAATAAGGATTATGCCATTACCTTGATTCGTCAAGGTGTCTGTGGACAGGAGAGTGGAGACTATTGTGAGGTGAGGTACATAAGGCAATATCGTAGAGACATTTCTGCTTATGGTCGGCTAGCAAGTAACTGTCCCTCTAGTACATCTGGTGGAATATCCAGCTGCAGTTCTGCTTCCTCCACTTGTCTTGCTGCTGTTAACACATTCAGTGATAGGATGGGTTGCTGTACTGAGCCATATCTTGGATCTGGTGTCAACTCATGCAGTGGTGTTAGTGTGGATGAGCCTTGTACTGGAGTATCCAGTGCTACTGGACTAGTAGCTCCTGTCTTTGTGATGATACTCAGTTTGGTTGGATTTTTGGTCTGAGGCTGCTATTGATGTGTGCCATTAACATAAAGAGACTAGCTCTTGAATAGTTTAGTTTTAGTTATATTAGCTCAGTTTTAGTTGAATACAGTTGTGAGTTTTTTTTTTGATAAAAATATCAGTGAATAATAAATTTCCAAATTATAATTGCACTATCATAAGTTTGTAATTTGCAATAAAGTGATGCATTTATTATGGATGAATATTAAGCCAGACTAGAATGATACATGTTCATTAGGATCACTCCTTTTAAATAACGCATCAGTACAAATGTACACATGTAATGATTTCTGGTACCGTGCTGCTTTGACTGTTTTGATCACAGGTTGCCTATTTCTTGGAAACAACATGTTTTTTGTAAACAGTCATAGCAGGAGCTAATAATAATAGTAATAATGATAAATGTTGCTTACAAGATCAAAGTAACTACAAATGTTGCTAGCAACAATTTGCCTCATGTATGAAGGCCTTAATGACATTCAGAAATACCGCCACGGTATAGCGGGTTATTTTTGAGAATAACAAATTTCACAAATTTTTCAAGATTCAAGAAATTAATTTTCTTGAAAATCAATTTGATGGGGTACAAGATGGCAGAATAGTCGAAATTTGCAAAAATTAATTCAGCAAACTTCCTGCATCTATGCTTCTTGATATAGATACCGTGGTTGTGTGGGTGGATAACAGGAAACTATTATTAATTTATTATGCCATTGAGCATGTACATAATGTATGGTTCAAAATGGTGGGATTTATTTTGGCAAATGCCTATCCTATTTAAACGCCAAATTTGTCAAAATTTATTGCCTCCTAAATTACCATCTATACAGTACATGTACATGTACATGTATGTATGTTAAAAACACTTACTCAAATCTCCTAACAGAGAGTGATACTGGAGGATGAGACAGTTGAGCCGACTAGACCATTACCTGATTACTGACCACTTGCAGCTGCTGGGAATGACTA